GAGTCTGCTTCTCCTCCCTCTGACCCTCCTCCCTCTCCTGCTGTCTCTCATTCTCTCTCTAATAAATAAATAAAATCTTTAAAAAAAAAAATGTACCACAGCTGTATAAATACTTAAGCTAAACAATGGAAAGCAGGGCCTGATTTTTTTTTTTTTTTAAAGATTTCATTTATTTATTTGACAGAGAGAGCACAAGCAGAGGGAGCAGGACAGGAAGAAGCAGGCTCCTTGCTGCCAGACGTTAGGCTCAATCCCAGGACCCTGGGATCATGACCCAAGTCGAAGGCAGATGCCTAACCGACTGAGCCACCCAGGCAAACAGGGCCTGATTTTAAAGTCAAGATCTCACAGAATCCCAAATTTAATTTTAATGTATGCAAGGACAAAAAATGTACAGGTGACAGAGGCACAAAGAAAAATCATCTGTTTTTCTCTAATTTTATAAAGTCATTGCAAGAAAATACAAATTCAAGATAACCCTTATTTTCTACGAGGCTGGCAAAGTTAACTAAAAACATCTAGTACTGGTAAGGGTAAAGAATTGGATACCTTTTCATAGACTGCTGTGAAGGTAAATGCGTCCCCCAAAATTGGTGCGAACTTTACAAAAGGCATTACAGGCAATGTGTTGAAGATGTTTTAAATATGCCTTATTTTCTCATCTCGCAATTCTACTTAAAGAAAACTACAATAAGGAAATAATCAGGCAAGTGCACATATATTTATGTGCAAGTATTAAGTATTATTTATAATAGCATATAGCAAAACAAAAACATTTCATTTCTATCTGTGGAGCATCAGAAAAATTGTTTTAAAGTACATCCGAATGGAAAGCCATAAAAAAATAATGAACTAAAACAGCATCAGAGCCCCAGGAAAAGAGCCTCTGGGAGAAGCCCTGTATTCTAAGGATAAAGCTGAAATTGTTTAAGTTTCTAGGCAGAAAAGAATGAGTTAGAAAAAATGAAAGGAAAGTCAGGCTGTCACTGGACTTCTCACCAGGAATACCAACAAACATTCTATAACTGCAAAAGATCATCGCAAATGTGGCCTCAGACTCTTATACTGGCTCTGGTTCTTTGCTATCTGACAAAACGCAAGTCTACGGATCACTTAGTCAATAACCAGATAGCTAAAGTAAACGTGAATAAATAACCAGATAAGATTTAAACACCTAGTATTTCGGTACTATTTGGTATTTCCAATTCTTCCAATAATAGCTAATATTACTGTTACTATTACTCTTACTATGTGCCAGGCTCTGTTCCAAGCTCTACACACATTTATTTTTAACTCATTTAATTCTCCTAAGGACCATGAGACAGATACCCTTACTCCTATTTTATAGATGAGAAATCTCAAGTATCTTGCCTAAGCTAATAAGGAGCAGAGCTAAGATACAAACCTACAGGTTAACTATTCAAACCATCATCCTGACCACTGCATTTATACTGCCTCTAAATGAGTAAGATCCTGATAAAAGGAAATAAATGCCTTTGTGAAATAAGACATATACCTAAGTTCAACTACTCTGTGTTCACTTACCTATTTGACTTCCTAAATTACTACAAATAAGCTCTCTCCTTACTTGTGCTATATCTCATTTTAGGACATTTGCTTCTATTACAGATAAAATGAAGGGTGAGTCTTCAACGTGACTGAAAGCTTCATCACTCAGTATTTCCTCTTAAGCTAAGACTGCCATCTACTGGACTAACACAAAAATCTCCATCAATACAATAGGACAAAGCATTTTGAGTAAAATTCGAACAAAGAGGAAGAAGAAGATAAATGTTAAGATATGCATCAATTTTCAGTGGATCTTCTCTGGAAACACACACAACTTATATCATTTGGAAAAACTCACTTTTTTTAAATTAGTGATGTATGCCGCCGTACTGACAATTTCAACTCCAAGAACAGTGTCCGAACCCTGAAGTTCCTGTGGATCGTGACTTATTCCCCCAGTGTCTACAGCACTATACAAACATCACAATGACAGTATGCAAGAACCACCATCTGTGTTCCCGTGTCAATGTTCCCTCAGCCTTAGGTAAGCTCAAGAACAAAGACCTTATTCACTTTGACATCTCTGTATCACTGAATGTGCTGAATGAAAGAATTCAAGAAAAGAAGTCTGAAGACAACATATCTTAATTAACTGTTGTCTATTTTATAAACACAACTGTACCTTTAATATAATTCTCAACCCAGACAGTTTTGCTTCCTGCGGAACATTTGGTAATGTCTGGATACATTTTTGGTTGTCACACTGTGGGGGAAGGTATGCTACTGGCATCTAAAGAAGCCAGGGATTCTGCTAAATATCTACAATGCACAGTGACAACCCCAACACCAAAAAAAATTATCCAGCTCCAAATTATCAATACCGCCGTTGTTGAAAAACCTTTCTTCCTCCCAGCCATCTGTCTTAGAAAGTATAGAGATTAATGAAAAACACCAGTTGATAATAAGAATCAAATTCTGTTTACATATATAAAGTACTTTTTATGTTTTTTACACACAATTTTCTAGGAACATACAATGTATAATAGAGAAAATATAGTATGATTAACCTTTGAAAATCTCAGAAAAACATCACTTTGTATTTTGCAGACCTTTGCCACACATTCTTTATCACTTAAGGAAAACACTAATTATGGTATATAGGTTGCCATTGCATCACACCTGTATTGGTCCATTTGCAGCCATCACATTCAATGGTGACCCTACATATAAATGTAGACACTGTGTTATTTATATTCCTTTTATATTCTAATATAAATATGCTTGAATAATTACTAATATTGAAATATATTTGTAAATATAAACCAATTTCCTTTTTTTTCTCCTTTCTGTTAGGGTACTATACTTTTTTTTTTTTTTTTTAAGGGGGGACAGCAAAGGGAGAGGGAGAGAAAGAATCTTAAGCAGGCTCCACCCCCAGTTCAGAGCTCGATCTCAAAACCCTGAGATCATGACCTGAGCTGAAATCAAGAGTTGGACACCTAACCGACTGAGCCACCCAGGTGCTCCTACTTTTTTTTTTTTTTTTAAGTAAGCTCTGTGCCCAATGTGGGGGCTTGAACTCACCACCCTGGGATCAAGAGTCACATGCTCTACTGACTGAGCCAGCCAGGCATCCCTGTATTATACAAACTTTTAAGAAATTATGTCTCAAAGTAGGTTATATCATCTAGAAATTTTATTTTACAAGAGCAAAGAACATGTTAAAAATTTTTGTTCCTCAGGCTCCACTGAATCAGATTTAAGGATTAAAAACAACTGGCCTATGAAAAAAATCAAAGTCTTTACTACAGCCTTTGCCTTTACTACTGTCTGCTTGAACCCCACTTCCCCCACAACAGCACCCACATGGGCACCACTCTGGTACTCTGCAAGGCTAGCTCCATCTCATTCTTCCACAGCCGTCTTCTCGGAGTTCACCCCTCCTACTGCTTTACCAGCTTGCACATACTTCATTTGTCTCTTTCCTAGAATTTGATACAATCTGTCATCATGTTTTATTTTTTATATTGTTTACTTTATCCTTTAGAATGCAAATTCCATAAAGGCAGAGACTTGTCTATCTTGTTCATTACTGTATCCCCTGCATTTAGCAAAATAACTGGGGCATATAGTAGGACATCAGTAAATATTTGTTGAATAAGTGAACTCTTGTTGAGTAAGTGAATTCAGGAATACACAATAGATTGTTACCAAAATCCCTGAAAGTGTCAATTAGGAAATAAAAACAAAGAACGAAGTTGATAAAATGATACCTATAGTTTAAGCAAATTAGAGATACAGAGAATCACTCTGTATATATGAGAACCTCCCAAAATTATACTTTCCAAACAAATAATGGGAGAATATATCATGTAATAAAGATAATTAATATAAAATGACACTTCAAAAGTTAAAACCAACTATATGCCAATTACAAAGGAAATATTTAAACAAAAGAAGACAGGGTTTACAGTAAACGAATGGGCGAAAAGGGGCGCCTGGGTGGCTCAGTCGTTAAGTGTCTGCCTTCGGCTCAGGTCACGATCCCAGGGTCCTGGGATCGAGCCCTGCATTGGGCTCCCTGCTCAGCGGGAAGCCTGCTTCTCCCTCTCCTACTCCCCCTGCTTGTGTTCCACCTTTCACTGTGTCTCTCTCTGTCAAATAAAAATCTTAAAAAAAAAAAAAGAATGGGCAAAAACACATCAGTCCAAAAAAGGGAAGGGATTAAAAGAATAATATGAGATAAAGCCAGACTTCAAAGAACATTAAATACAACCAAGAGGGATGCTTTACAATGATTATGATACAATCCTTAAACTATGACTGTCAAGAATGTTTATAAACCAAAAATTCTGCAGGAAAACATAACCAGGAAGTAACAGCAAAATTAAAACAACAAAAAAACAATGGCAGATTTTAATGTTTGCTCAGTCACCACTCGTATAGTCAAAAACTAGTATGTATAAAGGGTGATGTGACAGATATTTTTCTTTAAAATAAAAATAGAACAACAAAAGTAAAATAGATAAACCAACAGTTAGCATAACAAGGAAGTAAGGGAGAAAGTCCAAATACAAAAAGTTAGCAATTTAAAAAGGGAAAATTACAGAAAAAAATTAAATTCTGGAGCCATACTCTGCAAAAACTATATGCTATTAAATCTAAAAATCAAAAATGGATGATTTTAGGAACGCAGAAATTACCAAAATTAATTTATAATGTGGGAAACTTAATGAAAGGCATAACCAAAGAAGATAAGAATACTGTGAAAGAAGCAACAAGACAGATACACTCATGGGCATTTGTGTTCAAATCTTCAAGGAATTGAATATTCTCATAAGGAAAGAATGGAAAAGGAAGGAAAAGGGTAGGAAGGAAGAGAGGAAAATTGTACTTCTCTTTTGATGTATCCAGCATAACACACACAAACCAAACACTGAGAAAGTAAACAAAAAAAGAAAACTGGATAGTAAAGCAAAAACCCTTAAATACATAGAAAAAGAGTCCAGAAATATATAGTTAAAAAAGGGTTATTCTAGGAGTACAAGGACAGTCAATATTAGGAAATCTAGTAATATACTTCAACACCTATTAAATAAGTCCACAACAACAAAGACTTACTAGATGCAAAAATGATTTGTCAATTTCCCCTCCCAATACCTTCTGATATTATATGGCTATTTCATTAACATAAAAATGTATAATATTTGCTGCAGCATTATTAAGTACTTAAAAAATCCATTCATCAGGTACACTTACATAATGGAATACTAAACAGCCATATAGCATTTTTATTTTTATTTATTTATTTATTTATTTTATTTGCGAGAGAGAGCACGAGAGGGAGGAGGGTCAGAGGGAGAAGCAGACTCCCTGCTGAGGGACTCGATCCCAGGACTCCAGGATCATGACCTGAGCCGAAGGCAGTCGCTTAACCAACTGAGCCACCCAGGCGCCATATAGCATTATAGAATACCTCTAACAGAGAAAAAGTAAACTAGAAAAATAAACATCAAACAATTTATACAATTTATTTACAGATATGTGGGATTTTACTAACAAGCATACATGGTTACTTTTATAATCTGAGTGGAAGAAAGTGAAAATCCTCATCTTGGGGCGCCTGGGTGGCTCAGTCGATTAAGCGTCTGACTCTTGGTTTTGGCTCAGGTCATGATCTCAGGGTCTTGAGACTGAGCCCTGCGTCGGGCATGCTCGGCCCAGCGTCTGCTTAAGACTCTTCCTGGGGCGCCTGGGTGGCTCAGTCGTTAAGCGTCTGCCTTCGGGATCGAGCCCCGCATCGGGCTCCCTGCTCAGTGGGAAGCCTGCTTCTCCCTCTCCCACTCCCCCTGCTTGTATTCCCTCTCTTGCTGTGTCTCTCTCTGT